CTAGGTGAGACAGTCACTCAAAAATGGGATCAATGACTGTCATCAATACCTTGCCCAATATTGTGAAAGGTCGTATATCACTGTCTCCCAGCGCTAGGGTAATTTGCAAACAGACGTTCCTTGTATTGGAGTCGTGCCCGGAGGATTCGAGCAGGAAGAGAATGCCACTCTGCTGGGCAGGCACAAAAGAAAATAGTCCACGCTTACCGCTGAAATAGGAACGAGCTGTGACAGCAGTAAAACGCAGGCAGCAAAGCCTCGTGAGGGAAGGGGTAGGTGAAAATAATGGCAGAGGAATGGCAGAGTAAGGCAGTGCCTTTGAGCTGCTGTTCCCTGAGGCTGAGGAATGTCTGTGAGGGGCAGCTCATTAGAAGACTGCAGCTGTTTTGAGCACCTCAAGCAATAAGTAGATTTTTCATAGGAGCCGGTGCCTGAATATTTCTGAAAATCTCCCCATAGCATGACTGTGGGAGCTACGAGCTACTGACTGCTACTGAAAACTTGGCTTTTGCTTAGCTGTTGACATGGAAGGTAAACCCCTCCAAAAGTCTGCATTTCGGAGTGGCTGCTTGCAGCATGAGTCAGTGTGCGTTCCTCCTCCATGTCCATTACCGGACCCTGTTGTGTCCTAGATGTGGGAATTACTGATGCCATCAAAGGTTAATAGCTAAAGAAATAATTTCATTTGTAAGAACCCCCAGCTGACAAGCTGTTAATCACATCCCAGGAGAGCTTGCCAGCTTGCATTTTTGAAGATGCAAGGAAATAATATTATTGCCTGGTATTTGTTTTACAGCACTGTCTAATGAAGGTGGGCATCTTGCTATTTTTTATAGCGTCCAGATACGAAATATAGCAGTGCCTGTCTTTAAGTGTTACTCTGTTTCGGTACGCTTTTTCAGGAAGATGGCATATGTTTATTATACTCCATATACACAGAAAGCTCTGATCTTTGATTAGGTTCTTAAATTGACTCACACCTAGAGGGAAAACAAAATATTTATTTGCAAGTGAAGATAAAAAATAAAATTAAATTGAGCTTCACAGAAAGGGATGCATTTCAGGGGCTGTGAAATCAGAGCTCAAAAGGAAACATTGCATCCTAAATACTTTATTAATAATTGTAATTGCTTTAAGTGTAGCGTAACTGGGCTAGTGGTGTTTGTTGTTTTGCTTTAGGAACACATTTAATTTCTCAGTTGTCTACTAACAAACATTGCTTTCAGTGAAGTCAACACGAGAATAGCATCAGGAAGGAATCTAAAATAATACAATCCCTTTCATTGAGTGCCATGAAATGTTTATTAGCTGTTTCAGCCACTGTGTGCAAGTACATTCATCTGACTGTCACTGGGATGAAGATACACCACAGGATAGATAATAAAACTGTTTGGGTTGCTCTGTTTCCAAATTCCTCAGTAAACATTTCTTCTCTAAAACTGGAGGAATCTTCTGTGATGCACCTTCTATGATGGTACCACGATCCAAATTCAGAATATACAGTTATGAATTATTGACCATTCTTGACCATCCTGAATATTGAAATATACCTCATAAGCATACATGTGACCAATTTTCTTCAGTTAGTGTGAGATGCTGTCAAAGCAACAGCAACTATTCCGCACAGATTGCAAGAATTATATCTTCTTTTACATTCATTGTGGGTAAATAGAGCCATGATATCCTGCAAATAAAGAATTATGGTGGCAAATCCATCAGCTGAATCCTTGGCTCACAGGCATAACTATATTCCAACAATAATATAAGATGAGCTGGACTTACTTATACTCAGAAGTTACAAATAAAAAATAGCTGTAAAAGAAAGCAGATATTGGAAACAGGTTTTGGGTTTGAACAGATTTTTCAAGTTGAGGATTGCACCATTAAAATAATCCAAATAACCCTAATTCAAATCATATTCCTATTTTTGAAATCAAAAACCTTGACATGACTAAGTCTTATGCAGTACAAATTGTACATTGAAAGCAAACCTGAGAAAATTATACCAGATGATACTAGACTAGATTGTGATTCCTGTATTGACCTGGGGTATCCTTTTCTTCCTAAGTGAAAATTCATTGAATTCACTCCATTATTTGAAGAGCAAAGTACTTCTTAATGCAAAACCAGCCCACCTGAGTGGCACTGTGAAGGTCCTGACCCATCTGAAAATGAAACAGTACCAGGTTTGCTATTGCAGAGAAACTCTTCTTCACTGTTCTTGTGTTCTGCTGCCCCTAAAGGTGCTATTACCACATAAACACACAAACCAGACCTTGACAATATTCAGTTGATTGAGAAGAAGAAAAATGTCAGTGACTGTAGTGCCTAAATGCACATTTTTTTCCTAAGAAATGGCCTGACCTCATCTTATGCCAAATGGTTCATATTTTTATATAACACCTCAGAGGTCTTGAAATCCCACATTGTCCTCTAAAATACAAGTTCTTTACAATGCAGCTATTAGTAAAGCCTTTAGCAAGGGGCTTGATTTCAAAATAAATGAATTGAAGCCTGAATCTACATCCCAGTCCTAGTCCAAGATGCCAACTCAAGTGAACATTTTGAATCTTATTTTGTCAATATGAACCTTCTAAAACACAAAGATCAATTTTGCAAATACGAATCCAGTTGTCTCCAAAACTGAATCCCAAACTGATGCTTGAATAATTCAGCAACTTTAAAAAGAAACTTACTAAATATTTCCAGCTATGGAAAATCCTTATATACCATAAATATAAATCCTGTAAGCAAATTTACCACAAATGTAATATCATATATGTCTTGAGAGAATTCTTCACCATTGCACCAACGTGTTGTCCGAGGGGATTTTGTTTGAGGAAGTTAGAGGTAACAACTTTTTATTTAATCATGAAAAATTTATTGCAATGTTAACTACAAAGAGCCCACTCCTACTCCATAACCATTAAAATGCAGGAAGTCACCTGTTCAATAATGCAGAATTGTTGTGTATTAAAAATTTAAATCTATAAATATTAATAGGACACAGGTCACTCTCTCAACCAACAGAGGTAATTGTACACACCGCTATTGTTGTAAGCCTTAAGGGTTGCACATTTGTTATTATGGCATAGAGCAAAACAGACATGTTAAAAAGCCGTCATCTGATAAAGGAAATTTTGATCCTTTTTTTCGGATGAGGGATAAGGACAAGAAATCTTGTATTAATCCTGGGGTTTGTGGTTGTCTTTTGGGAAGAAAACGTTCCTATTTCAATCTAACAAGTCAACGTGCTGGAATCAGCTTTACAAAGGCATGGCATAAAGGTGTTTATGAGTAACAGCAGCCAAAGTCACCTTCTGCAGCCTTGCTCCTTTACACCACTTTGATGGTATCAAGAGGTCAGAACCATGAAACTGCTTTTCAAGGGACTGAAAAGACCAGGACAGTGTATGCCAAATGTGTCCAATACCAACAGAGAGGTGGTTGCCATGCAGGAGATGAGAAGGAAACTCCTGGGTTATCACAGTCTGGGTATGCACATCCCCAGGAAAGGGGAAGCTGAGCGGGTTGTGAGAGGGCTTTCAGTGATGCACATCAGCATAAAGCAGACCTGAAGGGCTAGAAAGCTACAGCTGGCTCCTCAGCAGCAATTCCTCTTAGATGTGTCAGCAGTTTCTGGGTGCAGGTAGCATTGGCCTTATTTCTGGCTAGAAAAAAAACAGGCTCTTCATTGTAGTAGAAGATATGTGGCCCTTTGCAGCCTGATCCAAATTCTCATCCCTTGAGCACTCTCCAGCTCAGGCAGGGTAGCTAGTTAGTTACATCCATGAGGGGTGGCCCGTGTGAAAGATATGCACGTGGCTTGACCGCAGAGAGGAGCTTGGACACCATGCATAGCACAGGTCCATCAGGGCTGTGTCTACAGAAATGTGATTCCTTCTTCACTCGCTCCTCTCCCAGTCAGCTGCACTGGAAAACCACTGGAACATGGCCATGCTGTTACACAGCCTTATTTACGTTTGCCATGCCGATGGCTGATTAACCATGGCTTACAAATGCTAGGTAATACTGCAAATTGAGGCAGAAACAGATGTCTGCGATGCACAGCAGCAGGGTGAGTTGTAGGTGCCTAGTTGTCCTCTCCAGCTCCTGGGGATGGGTCTGCTGTATTAAAAATTTAAATCTATAAATATTAATAGGACACAGGTCAGTCTCTCAACCAACAGAGATAATTGTACACACCGCTATTGTTGTAAGCCTTAAGGGTTGCACATTTGTTTTTATGGGGGGCACACCTGTGCCTGCCCGCAGTGTGCATCTCTCAGGGCACCCGCCTGGGCTGTAGGGTTGGAAACAAGGTGACAGCTGGTTTACACCATATTGTCCACTGCTGACGAATTGGTTATGCTCATTTAGAAGAAGGATTTATTGAGAAGGGTCTGGGGGCCAGGCAGGACACGTCACTGTCACAGTGTCAGATGGGAATTCATGGTATAGTTCTGAGGCCAGAGATGCTGAGAACCCCACCAGGTCCCTGTGCCCATGACTGTGCCATGGCACTTTGCTTGCAATTTTGAATTTCATTCGCTTGAGTTAACAGTGACCTCAAGCCTGTCTGTTACTTGGAGTAGGAGTACGTGAAGGTGCCTCTGAGCATACAAAGGAATGGACTGCAGAAAGGGGTCAGGATCTCATGCTCTTAGACAAACTTTCCTGGTGCCACTCTCAGAAACAGAAATAGGAATAGACAGACCACTGGTCTGTCCAAGGAGGTCATCTCTTATGCTCCTATGACTGTTTCCATCCCTGGCCTGTTCTAAGATATTCCTCCCCCAACTTTGTGAGAATACAAATGCAAAAATGGGAGCATTTTGCTGCATTCTTAAGTGGTTGCCTTATTTGGGAAACATTTCCTGGGTATCCACTATCTGTCTTTCTCAGAAAGTCCACCAACAGAATTGCCTCTAGGTGAAAACATTGGAAGGAGATAAAGGAAATGAAAGAATTAAGGCAGCTTTGCCACAGCCATAGGAAGCCTTCAGAGGACCTGAGGGCCTATCCAAATTTGGTGGTATTGTTTGGGACTGGATGCCAGCTGGGCAAGGCTACCTATCCATGTTGTGAAGGACAAGGAACATCCTGAAGACCTTGGAGAAAGAGGAAAGGCACAGCCCTGTGACATACTTGTTAAGGAAAGGTATGAGGAGGACACAGACATCCTGGAGAGAGCAATCTGTGCTCTCTGAGCCAAGGCAAACAGCACAAGCCACGAGGCAAGGACCACTGAAAAAAAGGAAGGAGTGTCAGGTATGCATGTGGGTTGTTTTTTTCTTTTACTTTTTCTTACAGGCTGTCAGTTCTTCCTCCTATCCCCCTCAGGCAGAGCAGTAAGAAACTGCAGGCCAGAGCACAGGGAATTCTCCAACACGCTACAGAGCAAGCTGATCTCACATACATTGCCTTTAGGCACAATCAGGAAAGCACATATGTTTTCACCATTTCTCAGAATGACAGTGTTGAACACCTCCCCAAACTGCTCCACAGGGTGCTTTTTCGGCCCTGCTCCTTGATGAAGCCATCAGCACCTGGGGGCAGAGGACCCACGCCATGGTCCCTCCAGGCCCTCTGAGAAATGCACCAGGCAGAGTCACCTCATCCATATTCGGCAACATTTGCTAGTACATTAGAGAGCTCATCGCCATGGTCCCTCCAGGCCCTCTGAGAAATGCATCAGGCAGAGTCACCTCATCCATATTCGGCAACGTTCACTGTCCTGAGGCTGTTTGCTAGTACACTAGAGAGCTCACGTGAGGCCTCTGAATTTCTAAGCTTTGAGAAGCGCTCTCTGATGTTTCCTCTGCTCAAATTTGCTGAACTGGTCCATTTAATAAGTTTAGGAATAACTCTAAAACAGCTGCACAGAGCTTTCTCACTGCTGTTTTCCTGGCTTGTGTCTCCTTTTAAAACTGTCTGTCTTGTTCCTTATCAGTGCCTATAACTGGTGTATTGTACAGAGCCATCTTCTCCACATCTGCTGAAAGCTCAAACTTCATTGGAAAAATAGGAGAAATGGGTGAGGGGGAAGTTTTTTATTCGTTTATTGGGGGTTTGGAGTATTTTTTTTTATTCTTACAAGGTCCAAGGCCAGTGCATGAAGAGTTAGAGAGAAACTAGCCCATAGAGGAAGAAAAGCAGAACACCAGGGCATCTCCAGGAAAGTCACCACAGATTCCTCGACCAGCTGTGCAGGTAAGCAGAATATCATGTTGACAATGAACAGTTGGATGTGACTTCCATTCACTGCAAAGCTTTCATTCCAAAGTGAGGAGCCCCTGCGTAATCCATTCATGTGCTTCAAAGCACGAAGTTAGGGCTTAATTCAATTTTAGACTAATGAAAGTCATAAATAGTTTCACGAGGCTGGTGGAATGAGGAAAATAGAAACTTGATGGAGACAACATTCAGTTAATGAAATGTTTTGAAATTAGAAACATTGGTTTGAAACTGAATGTTTGTTAGGCAATCTGAGCATGTTTAGAAAGATTGTGGTTACTTATCCGAGTCTGAAAATGAAAAGCAATTTCATAGCTGTGTGTTTGTCCTAAACTTCTTCATCTGCATTTCTAAGAGCTCTTGATACGCTACTTTGCGGAATGCTCCCTGCTTTTAACGGTGTGACAGCTCTGCAGAAGATTGATGGCTGCTATTAACATAGCAGAGAACATATAGGTCCCGTGGGTATATCTGACCGTGTTTCAGAATAGAAGCCGCAGCCAGTGCCAGATCTCTGGTCTCCTGGAATTTTGCTCCTCTTAGGATGACCGTTCTTACCCCATTGTGATATTTATGGTATTTATCCCATTACCATTTTTTGAACTCTGCAACATTGAAGCCAAGCATAGCACGTGAGTTGATCTAACTTGGACCTTGCCAGGAGGAGGAAGTCAAGATGTAGCAGTAGTTAATACTTTTTAAGTATGAGGTTAAGTAGTCTGAGGTTAGAGAGGAAAACATCAGCAAAGCACTTCTAATCAATTTGATGTAGACAAGCCAACTGTATTCATTTGTAACTAGTGCCTGTGCAATAAAATATACTAAAACAAGAACAAAACCTGTTCTTTTGTATGTTTTACTAGCCCTGGGTTCCTCCCACGGGTCCTGCAGGACTTCCCAGTTTGTTCCACTTCACTGTTCATTTTCTCTCATGCAGGTTCATACAATCTCACATAGCTGCACATGATTAACACTACTGCCATGTTCTACTTCTTTGTCATCTCTTTAATTTACTGACTTTTTGTTCTTTGATCTCCACTAATTGGATCTTCTTTTTTTCTCAATTTACAGTCTGATCTTTTAGAAACACTGAACCTGGCCACTCCAGTTCCTTGCCCTCACTTTCTTTATTACTTGTTTCCTTCCTTCTTCTCCTGCTCATGACACAATGTGTTTTTTACAGGTTAAGAAGTTCATCCTACATTTATTTTTGGACAATTATCATTAACAAATTAAACTTCACCAATCTGTGTGTCCTCACAGAAGGAGCATGGGCCTGGAAGCAAGGAGGACATGGCTTTCTGTTTATGGGTGCTGCTTTGTATGTCAGTGTCACAGATTCCCTCATCTCCAGAAAGCAGACAGGTATGTTTAGTGTTGTCTCATCTGGAGAGAGTCTGATTTGGGGAATTATTTGGGGAACCAAATTCTCTGCTAGCAAAACCAGTGGGTTTGCTCCAGGGTAAAATGTGACCTAGTCTCTGTGTGGTATTTCAGAAGTGCACATTTTTTTGCATCCTCTCTTAGTATTTCTCCTTTCAGAAGAATACTGGGGATCTAACCAATACCAGAATATCAGTGTGTTGGGGCCAGTTGATGGCTTACATGCTGAAAGTACAAAACTTGTGATGGATCCGAGGAGTTTTATTCTTTTGTCCCTTATGGGGGGTCTCTGCTTAACTGAGCTATTTTGTCTTGTAGCTAAGGACAAACAAGTTTCTTACGAGTATGCCCACACCAACATACGGCCTAACACAAATAACATTTACTAGAGATAGCAGCTCAGTCTCCAGATCTGTGTAGACTTGTCAGCAAGGGCCACACATTGTTTTGATACTTCTGTGCGGCTTTTGCTTCTGAGCTGGCGTGGTCCCTCGTCAACATCTGCCCTGTCTTTGCAGAGAAGCTAGTTAAACTATGTCTTTGGTTTAACAAGCTCCAGTTGTGTATTTCACTAGAAAGCAAAATCTTCATGAAAAAGACTGGATTTACAGTGACAAAAAGATGCAAAATGAGCACACATTATGTATTATATAGGGTTATAAATACAGAGACATTTTATTTGGAAGAAGACAAGAGAAGAATGTGTTTACGTACGCGTCCTAGATATAGAGGCATAAATGCTGAAACTTTTGCATTTGAACATGTATCACAGCAACAAAGTAGAGATTCTGTGTGAGGAACATCAGTAGGTTTACTGTATAATAGCTTTTATTTAAAATTTATCTGCAGTCTTCCATAGCATTCACAGTGATTTACAGGATTCCATTTGTATGCTTTTTACAATTTACACTATTTGCTGTAAGCACTGAAAGTTGACTGCAAACTATTAACACCTATTTATCAGAGTGTTTTGTGCAGAAGTCTTGAGACTCAGACTGTATCTAATGCTTTTAGAAGGGTTTCATAGAGACAAAAATCTGCCCTGTGTTTCAGTATTAATGAACAGAAGGAAGGAAAATAGAGTTGCTATAGTATCGATATACATAGCAGTTCCTCGAGCAACATTCAGAGTTGATTCAAACAAGGGAGAGAAGTGAATTCTTCTCTTTGTTGTTTACCATGAACAGAAGAGTCAAGTGTGTTAAGATGCAGCTACTGAAGCATAATAAGAGAGGGTGGCTGAAATTTATCCAAAAGTGGAATTTGACCAGCACTGGTGATAATACATGAGAAGGAAAGAAAGAATCCAGGTTGCCACCCATCTGGAAAGGCATTTTATTATGGTTAAATATAAAGCCCTCTGAACAATTTTGGCACTAGAAAAAGTCCCAATGAGCCAACAAGAAAAAAAAAAAAGATGTCACAGAAGAAATTGTGATGCAAAGCCTGATAAAAACAGATTTCTCATTCCCTTTAATATCTGAAACATTCCAGCCATAGATCTGTAGTGTCAGGGAGAGATGAGACTTTTCAAAAAACCATGCAGATTCCCGACTACAATTCTTTTTTAATACCTTGGGCAGAGAGAAAGTAGTCTTACATTTCAGTAAGCCAAGCATTACAATTTTGCCATGTCATTTATACAATATAGTATTTGAGTTTGTCTAAATAATACTATAAACTTATAAATTAGAGAAACTGTTACAATTAGATGGTGGATTTAGCAAGCCAGCAAATGTATACTCTTACAACAATGCTGATGATCTTCAGTCTGATAACTGGGTAGACGTTAGATCAGCAAAGAGGTATCCATGACACATTTTGTGTGTGTGTATGGGCACATGCATGCGGTCTTACATACCTTGCACTTAGTTCCTTCAAACTGTGAATTAGTTACTGTTCTCAGAGGCAGTATATCAGCTTGTCTGATGCAAGAGCTTGTCCATTATAGAAATCATCTATACTCCTCCTTTCTCAGGGGGAAATTTGGACTGTGGTGCACAATGGTACAAGACACTATATATTTTGTGCTGGCTTCTAGAACTGGCTGGGTCATACCTTAACTAAGCAGGGCACTGCTTGACCTTGAATATAGCCAGAATATAGTTTCGTATTTAACTATGTGGGACTAATTGTGCTTCCTGGGTTTACTGTAAACCACACATGTATCAGGCTAAGAGAGTTTAATTCAACCTGATGGAACACTGCCTTCATTGCTCAGCTCTTGTCTCAGCTATGCTACTTAAATTGCAGTATGGTAACTCTTAGGGTGGTCTGACAAAATATGATATAATTGTAAAAGCCTTGGTTTTCTACATGTTAACACAGAAAAATTTAATGGATAATTGCATATTAGATTTTATACCTCTGGTTCATATAGTTCTATGACTCCAGTTCAGCCACAAATACACTTAAAATTAAGTTTCTGTGTTTTATCATAGATTAAAATGTCACTGTGAACAGTTCTACTGTTGTATCAATTAGATCTTATAAATGTATTCCTGTTAGCCAATTAAATAATTCTGTTTTATAAGAGATTGCGTTAATAACAATTGGCATGCATTAATTCAAATTTTTAGGAAGGTATTACCAGGAACAAAACCCATCAGGAACATATCTTCCTGCTGTTGTCTTAATGATTCTATAATATCAATGACTTCTTATCTCAAAATTCAGGACAAAAGGGCTTGACTGAAGACATTTTAAGCTGATAGAAAGCCCAACCAATTTCAAAATGCTTAGAACTGGCCTTGCTAGTCACCACTAATATTAACATAGATTCATAGAAAATCAGAGCAGGAAAGTCCTCCATGGGGTCATTTAGATATTTAAACAGAATCAGGAGCTGTCACTGAGTTCAGTGACTACAAATCATATCTCAGAACATATAGGTCTGGGTGTTGAAAAACTACTCATTTTAAGTATGTTTTTAGTTCTTTTTTTTTTTTTTTTTTAATTCTAGAGAAACAGATATTTTCTCATTGTTCATTTTTTCCACTTCCTGGGCTACACAGGGGATGCAATGTTTTTCCAGATGCCAGGTTGTTCCAGCCAACACTATTTTTTCCCTTCTAGCTGGCTGTAATCTTTCAGGGTACCCCAGAGTCACAGCAGAGCTCTGCTTCTCAGAGCATTCTTCCCCCCGCCCCCCCAGGTTGAATCCAGCCTGTGAACGCCCTGTTTTGTTCATGTCTATGCCCATGTGAGGAGCCCTTCCACTTAACAAATGTGCTAATGAGAGAACAAAATGGAACTATGCTGGCCTGTTAAAAAATGGCAGGTTTGAGTGCTTCGTGATTCCTCTTGTTTTTTTCTGTGCAATTTCTTCAGAAAACAGAAGTTTTGTTCTTTGTTGGTTAATCTACCTTGGAGTTTAAACATACCGTAAAGCAGATTGGCTTCCAAGTGTACAGTGTCATTCATTTGTCTCCCTTTTGCCATTCCACTGACATGTTTACTTGCCTCTGAAGTATCATTGCTAGTTCTCTTGAAGATTTTTGTTAGGCTTGTATAAGTACTTTGCTTATTGCATTTCTATTCCTTGCTCCAGAGTGCATTTTCATGCCCTAGTTGCCGCTGCTGCTGCTAGACATCTGTTGCTTTGAATGTCTCTGGCTTTGCCAAATTCCACGGACCCTTTTAGGCATCGATCGGGGGGAGACTCAAGGAGTGACTGATCAAGCATTGAGACCATTCTGTAGTGTGATAGGACACCCTGTTCAGGCTTGCAGAAATGTGTGAAGATCCATATTCATACTTAACTTAAAAACTTCTGGTTGATAATCCTAAATTAAGCTGGTAAAGAGTTCCTAGTGGCACAGGAACCAGAGACTCTTCCATGGAAAAAGCTCAATTCAGGGTGCAAAAAGGGTAATGTATGGCAGTGATGCTTTCCTCTTAGGAAAATGTTTGCCCAGCATAGGTGGACATTTCTCTGCTTGTGCTGGATTTACTACTAGCTGAGAGTCCATCAGCAAGACTGTGCTGGCAGCTGCTAATTGCACAGTGGTTTCAGGTTATCAGGTTTTGATGGATAGCGCACCGAGAAGTCTCTTACACCTCATCTTCCAGTCTGACTAAAGTTTCACAGTCAAGCCCAGTTGGAATGGGGTTTTTGTCCTCCACATTAAATTCTAGAGCTCATCTGTAGAAACTTAGGATCATGTGTGATTAACTGCAGGGCTTTGATTTTGTTGGAAAGTTCTACTTTTATGTAGGACCCCCTACATGGGCAAGAAGATGTTGACTACCATTTAGTTGCTACTTCTTCTAGCATCATTAGTTGCACTTTTGCAATTTCTTCAACTTATTCTTGGTCTCAATCCACCAAATTCAGGAGTTCATTGGTACATGATGTCTGCCTTAAGAAAATGTTCAGAAAACATTACTCTCATTTTTTAAATTGTCTAAATGCTAAGTATGCATCTTTTGGTGATACCTCAGAAAAGCTACATACAAATTTCAGCCACAATAATGATCCAATGGCTGGAGCATCTCTCCTGTGAAGAAAGGCTGAGAGAGTTGGGGTTGTTCAGCCCGTAGAAGGGAAGGCTGCGGGGCCACCTTATTATGCCCTTTCAGGACTTAAAGAGAGCTTATAAGAAAGATGGGGACAGACTTCTTAGGAGGACCTGCTGCAATAGGACAAGGGGTAATGGTTTTAAAATAAAGGAGGGTAGATTCAGATTAGATATAAGGAAGAAATTTTTTGCAATGAGGGTGGTGAAACACTAGAACAGGTTTCCCAGAGAAGCTGTGGATGCCCCACACTTGGAAACATTCAAGGTCAGGTTGGACGGGGCTTTGAGTAACCTGTTTTAGTGAAAGATGTCCCTGCCCATGGCAGGGGGGTTGGATTAGATGACCTTTAAAGGTCCCTTCCAACCCAAATCATTCTAATGATTCTATGATTCTAATTTACTGTTTCAGAGTTGTATAGCATTGAAGATACAAAAGTGTATTTGGCTTGTGATAATTTTTTTGGTGTCGTCATCCAGATCTTATACATTTTTGACTCATACTACATTTGTTGACATTGCTACTAGCTTCTGAATTGTTGACTTTAGTTTCCAAATACAGTCTCATTTGAAGTATATAGTTGAATGAAAATATAAATATATACAGCTAGAGCCTGTTAACTGATCACATTGTGAACTGAAGACCAGCATGTTCAGGAAAGGATAATCAGCATTTTGCCACTGTGAAAATTTTAAGGAAAATACCTGAGTAAGCATTTAGCAGTAGAAAGATGCCACTTTCATTAGTGCATGGAGTAGAAGGATTTGGGAGGTTTGGGTTATTTTTAGAGTGGGGCAAGCTAGGTGCTCTTGGATATAATGGTTGCCTGGTAACACATCTAGGATTACAAAGTAATGGGGTCATTGATGGAGGCTTATTTCACCAATGATGCAGAAAAGAAAAAAAAAAGCAAAACCAAACCCACTCCAGCAAACTGTTGCTTGGCAAGTTTTGTTTTTCAGTGTTTTGTGAGCAATTCAGTGATGCCAAGCTTACAGAAATATATGTTGTAGAAATGCAAGACCAGAGCGGTGGCTTGTTAGTCATTGCTTTTGTTGTATCAATAAGAAAGCCAGTTTTGCCTTTGGGCTTGGATTAGATTTATTTTCATTTGCCTTGCATGTCAGTTTACAAATACACAACAAGCTTTGGATGCTCCTCTGTATGCTTTCCTGCTTTCATAAATATTTTTTGATATTTCTTTTGTAATATCTTTGGACCTAATCCTAAGAGTATAACTCAAGCTGAAAGCAAAATTTATTTAACAAGATCACTCGTGTATTCAGCTACTACCTCTCATCACTAAGAGTGGCAGAATTAGGTTCTACATAAATGTAGACTGGTGATCTTTTCTAAGCATGTGTACTTAAATCTATATTTAGGTATTCAGTTGCTGAAAAAGTATCCTAATTTGCAAAGGCACTGAGTACTTACAATGAATGTTGTTTGCCATGGGCATTTTTGTCATCAGATGCCTTGATTTAGGCAGCATTCAACAATTTTGGCATCAAAATATGCTTGAAATTGTTGGTTAGCAAATACAGCTGTCATTGCCCTATTCTTAAGACCACTTTTTTTCTCTGAACAAGTCCTACCTTTCTGCAAAAAACACTTCTCCAGCCAAACTGGGGACAGCTACATCCATCACTTTGCAGATGGTTTCTCAGAGTTCAGCCTCTTCCTTTGAAGCCTTTTAACTTTCGCCAAATCTTTTATTTCACTGTCAGGGACAAGGAACTCATCCTACATCATATCTTGTTTGTTGCTAAGTTTCTTTAAAGCTCTGGTGTAAACAGGAACCAGCAGTGATTGCTGATGAATCACACTGGCCCTTGAGTTTCTTACGCGGTAAAATTAATCTCCCTGGGTCTTGCATGTATGGACTCAGCCTGTGATATCATAGCTGTGACCTGTGTTGAAGCACAGCATAATAATCATAAAGGATCTTGTCATAGACTTAGGGGGGGGGGGGGAATTCTCAAAACCAAAAACCTTCTGGACTCTCTTCATAAGGACCAGAGGGACAGTCAAATTGGGGGGCATTACCCACTAGTGCAACTTACTCAAACAGCCAGAAGGCTCAGCCAGCAAAAGAAAGGTATTCTGTCCTAGGCACACTTCCTATAATTCTTCTGATTTTGGGGGTGGAAGGGTGTGTGTGGAGAGTGATGTTTTTGTTTTCTGATCTATCCTCTTGTTCAGTAAATGCTTGTGTCCATCTTTGGTGTTCTTTGAATCCACTGGAAGATATTTACATCATCAATAGTTTGCCACATCTGGTAGGCAGAATTTTAACATCAGATATAGAATGTAAATACAGGCTCTCATGGAAAGGGAAAGGAATAAAATAGGAGAATCACTGATACCAGCTTTTTTCTAGCACCTCAGTCCTATTTATCTTTCTTCTGTGTAGCTGGTGACCTGCGTTCTCCTTGAGAAGCAGAACCTCTTTGCACTCACCCTTTCCTCACAAAACAAACCTTGATCCCTTACACACTTCCCGTGTTATGTCATGTTTTGATCTATATGAAATTGCAGCTTTTGATGGACAGTATTTTCTCAGTATGAATAGGTAAATATGAAAGATCTACCTTCATTATCAAAATGAAGCAATTAAACCTTTGCTTCCTCCAGGTATCATCATTCCATCAGTCCAGTTTTTCTACAGTGGAAGTTTTGCATTTTGTAGTTTTGATTTCTGCTAACAAAAAGTCTTTACTTTTTAAATTGGCTTTGCTTTTTTTTTTCCCCCCAGCAGCATCCTTTAAGTTCTCATTTCTAACATTAATTTATAATTAAAATAGATAGGAGAATCTCCTCCCTACTTTCTATCTCCACTGAAAATAAAAATAAAAAAGAAGGTTTTCTCTTGAGTATTCTGACTTTTTTAATTACCCTCTCAAATTTGATTTAGGTTTTTTTTGTTGCTCAAAGTAATTTTGCTTGCCAGCAATTAGAGATAGCATGTTGTACAGCAAACTGTTCCAAACGCTGGGGGAAACCTCAGGAAAATAGTTTCCATGGTGTTTAGTCAGACCTGCATAACTGCTACTTTAGCGGAGAAAATAAGACAAGAGTACTCAAGAGCATCAAAACAGAGGGCATTTGATATTCTGGGTTTCAAACTGCCTGTTCAGCCATACCAGCCAGACCTTCCAGCTAACCTGCTGATGTGTTGTGCCACAGCACAGATGGGGTATTTTACCAAGGTGAATTTGTTCAAGATTCTTAGTCTGAAGGCCAGATTATTCTATGATTCTCTTTCCTTTCTACTTTGACAGTTATAATGAATAAAAGATGCTGAAAGCATGATTTATGAAGGGGTAGATCTACAGAACCCTCTCCTTCAAAGCCCGCCTTTCTTCTCTTAGCTCACTGAGAGCATGCAGGAGGATTTCACTGTTCCCTGAAAAAACATCCCTGAGCCTCTTTGGTGTTGCTCCAAAGCTGCGCAGGGTGACTTAGAAGTTGGAGGCTGGGTACCGCCTGTCCTGGAGCTGCAGTGCAGGGAGTCACAGGTGAAACGAGTGAAATGTGTTACAACTCCTTAAAGCTAGAAACACCATTTCTTGCTTCTGCTAACCAGGGGAACGAGGTAAAATATCTCTGCGGGGTAATCTGCCTGTGGGACAGGTTCACTTATAAAACTCTAAAAGAACTTAAGAGTTTTGTTTTTATTTGGATGAACTTGCAACCCGAACATCAAGCTGTACTCAGGCAGGGCAACCTTGTGTTTAGGAGTTCCCACAAGACAACCCAGCCCTCAGAAATGAAGTCAGCCCTCTCCTTCTCAAAAAATCAAATCTCCCAAAGAGAACGGAGTCATGTATTGCTCCTGCCTTGACCACAAGCAAAATCTGACAGATCTGGAAGCCTTCCCCACATCTGCGTGGGGCCATACGATGCCTGTGATCGCTGATTCCACCTGGGAGCTCTAAAAGCCTGCAGGTCACCTGTGGCTGTGGCTCATAGAAAGGCAAAGGCCGCATGCACCGCACCTATGGGGCAATTGAGCCAAGGGACAGGGGGTGGATAGCTCAGTCCTATTCTGTCCCGTGCTCCAGTGGGAATAAAAGAGCACGTTTTTAGTGGCTTGCAGCAAATGGCTGCTTATGGGCATGCTTGCCTCTGCCCGTTTCATCACCTTCCCCAAGCAGAGCACCTCCATCAGCACTGCCCAAGTGTTATGCAGTCCTGGCCCTCTCCGGGCTCTTCCCCGTGTAGCTGCGGTTTTAGCTATTGCATTACAGTGATTTATCAGTCCCTGTTAACTCCATCCCCTGTAGATACAGTCCTGCATTTCCCTGTCAAGCTAGGAAAAAAATCTTTAATGCGTTAAGCCAATTTCAGCCCACAAGTGCTCCATTAATTCCATCAAATCTATTTTGGTGTTATTTCTGCCATCAGTTCTGCCACATTTTGTGCCAGATCAAACCAATAAGGTAAATTATTAAGGCCTGGAGCTTACTCAGATAATATGGGCACTTTCTGAGCAGCACAGGACAAAGGTTAGCAGCAGAATGCGGCAGCGGAAAATGAAGTGCAGAAGGGATGTAGCATAAAGGTGTCACTAGTTTTCTAGCCAGTCCTAGCATTAATACACTTACTGTATTTTCCATGTCATTTACACCATCCTTTTCCCAGTTAATTTTGTAATCTGAATCTGACGACTCAGGCTGGGGAGGAGAACTGCTCTTCTGGAAAAGGGGAGGCTGTTTCAACTATTTGAGAATTAAAGTAGAAATAGAGGAAATTGGGAGAGGGAAGGCTGGGAAATTTTGTATGAGAAAAGGAATGTGCTTCATTTGACTTTCCTTGCACTATGAGCATAAAATGAACAAGATTTGGGTAAGCGGCTTTAGTTAAGAATGATCCCAAAGCTCTTCACAAATGCAGCTGAATTTCTTTTTAGCTTCATTTTCCACTGCAGAATTATATGATGCTTGGGTCAGAAAATAAGCACTAAAGGCTGGATTTGTTGCTCCTAAATTGAGGAGGTATGTGTCAAGATATTATACCATAGCAATAAAAAAGAGATTTTCAGCCACTGGTGTGCCTTTCCAGCTCATGATAATCAGGGTAGGGACCCTAACCCCACCTGCCTTTTGCAAGTTCTCTTGCATTTGATTGATTCCCCCTCATGCGAGGAATATGATCCTGACCTTTTTGCTACCTGGGGAGGGAACAAGCAAGAAGGGGTTGAGTGAAATAAATATTGAGGGTTTGTTGGGTTTTTTTTAATGGGCAAATGTGAGGATAAACTAAACTGGAGTGGATTGGAAGATATCAGTAGGTTTTAGGGAGAGAGATTAAAAAGGAAATCAGGCCTGTACGTTTCTTCACAAGTTTGTCAGCTAGTTGCACTCTCTATGGGATGCTGGCAGAGGCATGGCCAAGGGGCAAGAAATAGTGTGTATGCCAGTATTAGGAAGTTCATAGGGGACACAAGATCTACCCAAAATATACAAGATCAGCTCCGTGTAAAAGTGGCAGAGTGCAACTTTGCATGACTATCTGTGGGTCCCTGCCATGGTCCAAGTTTGGTTTCTTCACCCTCTTCACCCTCAGGGAACTTCCCAAATAGGCAGCTACTTCCTAAGCAAGTCCTAATGGAGATTCATCGTATTTTGCACTCGATGCTGCTTCTTCATGGTGCTTACTACTATATGAACAATTATTAAGTGTTCTTCAGAATGAAAAATGCTACCTTTTATATAAAAAAATTCTGATTTCCTTACAAGCCTGGATTTAATATTTATAGATCCTCCCATTGTTTTCCTTGTTTAAAATATATTCCTCCTCCTCCTCCAAAATCCATGTCAGAAGTGTGGAGGGGAGAAGCACACTTATTTGTAAGATTATGTTCCTTTTATCTTCCTCACCGCCAGTCTTCACTTGGATAAGACAAGGTAGGTTAGGAGGTCTCTGTAAAGCACAGAGTTTCAGTTCTTATCTTTCTTAGTACAGACTTTTCAGTCTCTTCCTAATCTTTCTTATTACTCCCATCTGCACCCTTAGAAAGACTATATTTTGAGATAGGCTAACCTGAGGACAGTATTCCTAGAGCAGCAGATGTATCTTGATTTATAAATGGGCTTATGTTATTTTTCTTTTTATTCTTCACACCAGCCCTTTGTAGCCTAATACTTACTTTCTGATTTTCATCTCTGTTGAGCAGTGATCCTTAGAGAGCTGTGATCTGTAATTTAGGACTGCATCCAGATTTATTGTAGCATTGAATTTCATATTGCCACCTCACTACACTGCCTATTTCCCCATGTTAGTCCTTCTAGTTTTGCCTGGGTGTGCTTGACCTATATAATTTTGTTATCTTGCTATTTATCACCCTCCCCAGAACACGGCTGTACATATATAACTGCACACACCTTATGAATATTTGCTGCACCTCAGCAGTCACTTTTTTTGACTCTTAGCCAGTTTCTACTTTATGGCAACAAATTGCCTCTCACCTTGATCCTGCTGA